AGGATCATAATCCAATGGTATTGAAAGGAAGGCTGCTCTGTAGGGACTAGAACAGTTTGAGAAATTATAATATTTTATCCTAATTACATTTCATGTCGACTAAGTTATGTAAATATTTCTTTAATATCAAATTTTAGAATTTATAATATTTTGGTGAATTTTGTTATAATAAATACTTTTGGAGATGTTTTTAATGATATTCTAAACTTATATGTATACCATGTGAACCAAACAATGTGCTAGATGTAAATTTAAGTTTTATTTATCACTTTAAAGTCTCGAATTTATTCCTTTGAAGTTTTAAATACTTTAGAATCTTATAAAATTTTCTTAAGAGGAATGTAAGTTGTTTTTATTCAATTCTTAAATTTATAAAATAGAACAAAAGTTCTATTTTTTTTCTTTTGCTATAAAATTTATTTTTTAAAAAAAGAAATTAAGGATGTTACACCAATCACATATTTAAGGTAAAATAAAAATTATAATAATTAAAATACTAAAAAAAAAAAAATACATAACTAGAGTTATGATGAAATGTTTGCATGACTATATAAGATTTTTATGATTTATGATAATTTCGTGTTTCCATTTTTTATTGATGTTTATCCTATTACACTACATTTGTGTTTTAGAATTAAAATTTTTTAAACATACCATTAATTAATTATATTGTAGGCGATTATATCACATATAGTTAATGGATCTATAGCGTAAAACGAGACAAAGGATTAGGTAGACCAATCTTATTTCTTCTCTTTTAATTATTATTATTAAATTAACAACTTATAAACTTTTTATGCTTTCTTTTCCTTTCACTTTACATTACCATTGGGGGTGACATTTTAGAAAAAAAACTGTTAATATTGCATAATCATTAGGTGTTAATAGATTTAGTATGAGTGGTTGACAATTACAAGAAAATCAAAACTAGAATTAATCTAAAAGTAAACATAGAGAAGTGTAAAGGTAAAATCATACACCCTAAGTTCTTCTCAATTAGTTTACCATAAAAGACTGCGCTGTTTTTAAATTTTATTTTAATTACTTTCATATGTAAATATTTGTTTTATTTAATTTCACATTCTTGGTAATTGGAAACAATCTTTATGGGATGATATTTTGAAAACTTATTTTAGAACCCTTTATTACTTTTCATTGAGTACACTTGCCCATAAACAATACTCGTACCTAGCCTTATATCTGCATACCCATACCTGCACCTATTACTTATGTTTGTCTAAGAAAAAAAATACTTGCAAAGAAAAATATACTTATATAACCTCATATGAGTAGCATAATAAATAAATAAATAAATAAATAAATAAATATATATATATATATATATATATATCTGTGTGGGGGGGGGGAGGAGAAGAGGGGCAGGGTGGGTATAAGTTACTCATACCCGCACTTATCCTATTAAAATTTGTGAATATTTTTTTTCATATCCATACTTGTTTTGCAAGTAAATACCTGCCTATTGTGAGTAAATTTTGCAAATACTCATTGTGTACTTTAACTGTTGTCATTCCTAATCAAAACCTGTCAAACCCAATTATTTTAAAACCTATTTTCTATCCCATTTTAGTTTTTACACAATTTAGGGCAAATGATCTTTACACGTAATTAGACTCCCGAACTCATATTTAGTTAATTAGACCAAATTTTTAAAGTTTTCTAGAATTCTTTAAAAATCTTATTGACAATATTTATACTTATCCACTTCTTCAAACATCTCTGTTTTTCTCTTTCCCATTTTCAATTCTCCTTTTTTTGTATATTACTTTCTCCCGTCGCGGTCCCAATTACGACAATATATTATACTCATCCATTTATCACACAAAAGGTCAAAAGTTAATGAACAAAATATATTTCTAAGAACCATAGGTTTTATTATTTTAGCAATGAATACAATATTAGACCTACACTATCTTAGTTTCATCTTGGTGCTCCATTTTTTAATATATTTACTTTGTTGATAGGAATGTCTTTCTTTAAAAAAGATGTGTTGCTTATGGTGTACTTCTTTACTCCATAATTATCCTATATTATTCTCAACTTTTAAAATATTTGAATTTTTGAATGATTCAAAAAACAAATTTTCTCCACTATGGAATTTCTTGGGATGGTATCAATCAATATCATTCTGAAAGAAAAGATGTCCAGTTAAAAATGGAAATGGTTCATCTTTAGAAATAGATTGAAGTTAGGCAAGAACTCAAAGAAGCAAAAGAATACGTCACCATTGTAGTCATTCACATACCCTACTTTCAAAATCTAACAACAAAATATCTATGGAAACAAAATCAGGTAAAGATCTCGTCAACATTTTCAAATTTAAGAGTTTTTACTCAAGATGATAAGTCACTATTTCATCAAGCAAAATTGATAACAGTTCTTCTTGAACTAAATGGAACCTTTGGTGATTTGGTTAAAGTAAATCCACTTGTTCAAATTTAAAACCATTAGATGTAATTTGTCCACTAAATCCTTATGAAGAAAAAGTGTGCAATCAACCAAACCATGTGATGCCACTTGCTAATAGCAATGATAACAAGACTAGAGATGCAACAAATATAAAGGGACAAATAATAATGCAATGCTCTCAAAATCCTTATCTTGAGCAATAATGCAAAATTCCTAAGATTCTTATCTAGAACACTTTATGAATTGGAAAAGACAACACTTTAATTCAAATGACCCAAACATGTTACCGAGTCATGATTCTATCCATAAAGTGTTTAAAGCCTAGGTTCAAGTATATTTGTCTTTTGTAAAATAATTGTACTTTAAAATAAAGCGTGTCACTTTGACTTTAAAGATATCTAATGTGATAATATAAGTATTTGTCATATACTTGATTCCTTTCTCTGTATAACGAGTGCTTGTAGTCAGTTTTAGGCAGAAAATGCCTACTTCTATCAATAGTATTTAACTTTTGATAGAATTCTAAAATCTTTTATTATTCTCCTAAAAGTTTAGTCTTATTATCTTGAGGTAGATCTTTGTGAGAATAGAGATAAATAACTTGTAACAGAGAGAGAGTATGCTCTACACTTTTTTCTTGAAAAATTTATGTATCAAAAAATTGTTTGATGAATGATCTATTGCTACAATCTTATTTATGATTAAACGTTACAATCCTATTTATGATTAAGCGAAGTAATTAGAATTTGAGAAAGTAGAATATGAATTATCAAAAAATTCATTTTATGAAAAGTTTAGTTATAATATGGTTTACTCCCTGCTAGCAACGGGAAGTAAGGCTTGGAGCTGGTTCAGTTACATGAAAGGGAGCAAGTGACCAAGTGAGAGTCTACCGATGAAAAAACAAATAAGCAAACTGTTTCGTGGGATAAAATAAATGAAGCAAAGTTATGGTTTTTTTTCTTCATAACGATTCTGAAAAAATTCAAAATATTTATAATAAGTCTCTTAATTTTTTTTCACTTAAAAAATAAATATATATTGGTTTTGTTCTAAACCACTATAACCAGTATTCCTACCTATTACAGTGGTTTTGAAGTGAATCGCTACATTAGATCATTTTGAAAAAAATACATATGTTGAAATTTGTTAAATAAGGAGCCTTTTATAGCAGCTTAGCTTAGATAAAATGGTAATAAAATACTCCAGTTATTATAATAATTAATTGTTAATTATGTAACTTGTTACAGTGTATGAATATGGAATCGCTATAGAAAAGTTATATTTAACGTAGTGACAGTGTAAAGTTTTGGGGAGTAATTATAAACTGCTCTCTAAATGCGTCTATTTTCGATTTTTATATAACGATATTTATTAGAGAAATTTAAATTACTATCTAAAATTATGTGAAACATTCTTTAATATCTTTTCTTGTGCAGTGAAAAGTATTTTAAAAGGTGTTATGCTTGAATTAAGCTTATTGGAAGCATATACAGTCAATTGATATGTTGGGTTCACATTGTGATTTTGGTTGGTGTAGTTCGGTTCACATTGTGCGTTCGCATTAGAGACAACATTCCAATGCATGAAAGGGAATAATTAATTGATAGTGAAAGAAAAGGGGAAACTGACGATGGAAAATCGCCTTGTGGATCTAGTTATAGATCTTAGGCGTTAAAATTTACTATAACATTTGAATGTTGCGTAATTTTTTAATTCCCTATGCTCTAAATTAGCATGTTGAACATGTATGTGTCTACACAAACTCAACTTCAAGATACCCATCATTTTAGTGTTGTCAGGACTTCGAGGCTTTGATACCAAAACAGAAAAATATTAGAAGTTAATGCTGTCTTTCCTGATTTCATCGATTGTGTACAAAAGATACACGTACACACGTAAATAGCTCCCAGATTTGATTTCATTACATTATCAAATTACTGTTATTCCTAAAATCACCGGTACTTCATTGTTGTTTTTTAACTGTATTTGTTGGCATTAGATATAATATTGTAGTGCAATGAAGAAAAGAAAATTAATTGACGGAAAGAAAGGAAAGTGGAGATAAAGAAGAGTGTCATACGGATCTATTTTTAGATTTTAAACTTAGCATTTTTTTTTTATGCTGTGTAACTTTTTAATTAGCTAAACCCAAAACTGACATGTCAAAATGTGTCTACACAAAATTTACTCAACTTCAAAATACCAATCGAGTTATAGGTATTTAACAATGTTTTTAACGATCTTTCACAAAACTAGTGACAAAGGTCAAAGAGTAGTACAGGAACACATTATCTACACATAAAAGCTGCTAGTAGATAGTTTTAAAGCCAACAAAATTTTAACAACGACCTTTACATAATTCTCTTCCATTGCTTTCCTCGCCTCCGTTTTATTAAAATCCCTCCTTCCTCTCCCTTTCTTAATACCAAGCACACCAACAAAGACTCTTACATACATAATAATACTAATCCTGATTGATTAATCTTTGGATTCTTTTTTGTTGCTCTACTCACATCAATCTTACATAAGCAACAAATTGAACTTGTTTGTTTCTGGGCACAAAGCAAATTCAAATGCATTATGCAAACTATAATGAAGAAATGATAAAACCTGAGTTTGGACCACCCCTAACAGGTTGGATATGGTTCTTAAGCATGCCATCCAACTCTTTGACAAACCTCTCCATGGCATCAGATGGTAAACAAACTGGAATCACTAAACCTTCCTCTCCTTCAGCATTTTTGAAGGGGATGTAAAAGCTTGCGACACCAGGTATGGCTCCAACTCCTCCCTTAGCTGGTCCTCCATAAGCAGGGTTTCCCCACCCGCAGTCAACCCCTCCAAACCCAGCACGCGTTACATCTGACACAAGATAAGACCTCACCACAGTAAAGTGAGGCCTTCCCTTGATGACCATTAAATCTGCCAGTGAATGCATGTATTCCTCGGTCACATCTGCTTTTGCTTTCCTTACTAACTCCAGAGCATATCCCAACGGACTTTCACATAGCTTCCCAGCAGTGGTAACCGCAACGGGAAATGCAAAAGCGTTGCCATAGTAACCTGTTGGTAAAGGAGGGTTAAATTTGGAACGCGCGTTAACAATGCAGAGTATGCGAACCTCCTCGTCTTTCTCTGGCTGCAGTGCTATTGTGCGACAACGCCAGAGACATGCAGTGAGGATTTCAAAATTAGAGCATTTTTGTTGGTTGGGAGGAATGAGGCTACGAATGGCAGCTAACTCAGTGGGACCAAAGAAGAAAGAGCGATGGGCCATGTCGTCTAAGGGGATGATGGTTCCCTTTGTGTCAGCCACTTGCTCGTATTCACGGTGGCTGCATGTCACTTTTGGTGGGTCTCTCGCATTTAGAAGCTCTCTGTTCCACACCGGTGGGGTTGATGGTTCGTGCATTCCACGAGCCATTTCACCCAACGCAGTCATGAATTGGACTAAACCAGCTGCATCGCACATCGTGTGGTTTAGCCGGAGAGCCATGATGAAGCCCCCACATTTCAGTCGTGTTACCTATAACAAAATGTTAATCAAGAATATTAGTTTGTGATTAGAATCACCAAAAAATATATAAATAAATAAAGGAACTCAAAGATGTAATCCATTGTGTATGTAGTTTGATTTATTTATTTAAAAATTATTTTTTATTTAAATATTGATTTATTTAAAAAATCATCTTTCCACACATGATTTATTTGGAAAGAAGGATGACACGTGAACTTTTCAGTAAGGGTCTGTTTATTGGTTAGAAAACTTTTTAAAACTTTCATAAATAATTATAAAAAATAATTTTTTTTATATTTTATTTCATATCTGTGAATATTTAGTATTAAAAATCATAAAAATATTTTTTTTATTATTTCTATATAACTATTTGAAAATAAAAAAAATAATGTTATATTTTGATAATTATTTATAATAATAAAATATATTCTTCAAACAAAATAAATTCTACCAAAATCTAGCTATTAATATCAGTGGAAGAGAGTTTTGTTAAGTAAAATTTTAAATTTAAATTTTATAAATAATTATAAATATTAAAAATAGCTTCATTTCTTAAGAGTGTTCATTAATATAACTTAAATTAGTTAAAATTTTAAATAATTTTTTAATATCGAGAGTAAAAAAAAATAAAAATTATAAGCAGTTATAAAAAAATAGATCCATAAATATAAAATGTAAATTTAAAAGATAAATTAAATAATTTAACAATTGAAAAGTTATTTTATATATATATATTAATAATTTTTTAAAAAGATAAATTATAAGCAATTATAAGAGGATAGATTTATAGACATAAAATAATTTTTCAACTGCTTAGATTATTTGATTTATATCATATTTGATATAGGTGTAAATAGATTTATCCTATTTATAAATTTATATATTGGTGTAATTTTATAATATCTTCGAAAAAGAGAAAAAAAAAAAAAAGTTAAAAATAACGGTAGCTTTTATATAGTTAAGGAAAAGGGTACCTGTATAAGAAGCAAGGGAGAGTTAAGGACATCTCCAGAACCAGGAACATCGAAAAGAAGCTCCTCCAAGCATGGAAAGGGAGGTTGAAGAGCATCACCAAATTGCTTAAGCGTGACATCTGCATCAGCCTCAATGAACATAACACCTTCTCCAGTACAGTCAACCATGAGTTTCCGACCAGGTCCTTCCCTAAGTCGACCTGCAAAAGGATAGTAAAACACAAGTGTTTCTGCAAGAGCCTTTCTGATCACCTCAACAGGGTCTTTCCCTGCTTTTGATGGATCATAGCGATAGAACTGTATCACCGGAATTTGGAAACGCAGGCCATCTTGGTCATCTATGTCTGATAGTAGCTTCACTTCGCGTGGGGTGGGTTTCGCTGGAGCCACCAGCTCCGCCTCACGCCTTCTCACTGTAAACACCAGCGAAGCGGCCATAATTAGAAAAGAGAAATATTTGCTGATCAAGATTATTTGTGGGTTGCCACTGCTACACCACCAAGTGTGGTATATATAATAGAATGACCCACCTCCTGCATTCCTTTTGCTTTAATTATACATGTCCTTCCTGGAAATTGAGGATATAAATAATATTAGGTCAAAAAGTTAAGACCGTTTTCTGAACTTCCGTTTTAAAATAATTTTCATATACAAAACTTATAATTTAATTTTATAGGCATAACTAGTTTCAATGTAGTTTTAATGCATGGTGTTATTATATATTATTAATTATAGATATAGCAGGACTAAATATAAAAAATAAATTAAAAGATGTAGAGATACTATGCAATATCTTTGAATGTTGTCGAGATAATATTAAAAAGGATTATATATATAAAGATTAAATTAAATATTATTATCAGATAAATAGATTAAAAAATATTTTAATAAAAAATATCTTTTTATATTAATAAATTTAAAAATTAAACTTTTTATTTAATTTATATTCAACAGTAAATAAAATAATAAATTATAATTTATTAAATATAAATTAAATATAAAAAGTTTTAAATTTACACAAATATAAAAAAATTTCTCTATTTTAATATAAGCTTTTTATTTTTTATAACAAAATTTTATATAATACAAATATTGTATTATTTTCTTTCCACTTATACAGAGAAGACATAAACGATGGCACCATTTCCACAAAGTGGGGGACTAGGAATTCGTGGGAAGCTATTATAGAATGACTGGATGACTTGGACGATGACTTGACTGGGACGGGTAAGTGATACAGACCAATGCAGACCGACAGGCAATTTCTTGGCAGCTTTGATTATTATACAAGTCCAGGAGTCAGTCTATAGTTATAACGAAGTAGTACAACTTTACGGTTGAATAGTTAATTTTTAGAATAATCAAACTGTATATAAATTAGTTTTTTTTTTTAAGGATATCCGTAAACTTAATGAAGATATTTTATATTTTTTTAAATTGATAATTATGATATTTTAAAAATTAAAAATATTAATATTGTTTTAATTAAATCATTGATTTTATTATTTATTACTATAAAATTAACGGTAACACTTCTTTGACGTGTAAAAATTTATTAATATTGTTAAATTAATTATTTTTAAAAATAATAAAAAACATATTATATAATTTTTTTCAATTTAATAAACTTAACAAATGAATATTATAATTATTAATAAAAAAATTATATTGAATTAAATTAAAAGAATATTATAAAATTTTTAATAATTATTATAGTTTCCAAACATGATAGGGAGTGAATTAGGTTTTAATAATTTTTTATTTTTCAACACTTAACATCAATTAATTTTTTTAATTATAGTGGTTAAAAATAAATGTAATATTAGAAATATAAAATTGTTGAATTAATGTAAAATGTGATACAAATCTTTAATAGACATATAATTTTGTAGCAAAATTAAATATAGATAATACAAAAATAAAAATTAAAAGAATTAGGATTAAAAAAGATCACACAAATAATTTATATTGATTCATTATCATCACCTAAGAGTTACATTTAGTCTCTAAACACATTTTAAAGTTTTTTTTCACTATAACTAATGAATTTAATACACTAATTACTTCAAGATTCTTCACTTAAAAGACTTCAAATCAGAATAATACATTTCTTGCTTTACAAACTCTATAAAATTTCTTACTCACAAAGACTCAATTTCAACAAGGTACAAAAATACAAAAAGAGAGAAACAACAAAGAAAAAAAAACTCAATTTTTTTACATGAATTGAAATCAGAACACGAACATCTTTCTAAGAGAATGATGTAATTGCTTTTGTGAAAATGTTTAATGTGAGAATTGAATGTTGTCAAAACTATTTTCTGCATGTCAATTAGGTTTTTGTGTTTTATTTATTGAATAGAAATGATAAATATAGAGCTTTTAATGAAAGTTTGTCATAAAAAAAATGTTAGTTAATTTTAATAACGACATTTAAGACAACGTAACAGAGATACATAGTAATTGATTATTGAATAATTTTGTTTTAAAAAAATTGAATATTTATCAAGCAGAACATATTGGTAATCAATTACTCAATTGACAATCAATTACAAAGAAAATCGCTAAGTAAAAAATGAGTTATAACTAGTTCTAACTTAATTAACTTTTTAAATATGTAAACTTTGATTTTTAATTGAGTTAAACAAAGATTTTAACTTAAGCATAAGAGCAATTAAATCAAATCTTTTAAAGATTATCACACGTACAAATCAAACCATAATACTCAAAGTACAAGTTTATATATGCAAACTTAATTCAAAGACTTGATTGGTGAATGTTTGTCTTTTAACAAAATTCCCATGCCATAGAAAAGAGGACCTTTTGTCACAAAGTTAAAATCAACATTAATATTAAATTTTAAAAAATAAATACATAACATAAAAATATTTATACATATAAGAGTTTGAATATGAGTATTAATTTTTTAACAATAGCATTATCATGAGTGTTCTAAAGGTTTTTACTTGAATGAAAGTAAAATATGCATTGTCAGTTTAAAAAAAAATAAGATAAAGATCACATGTTTAAAGTTAAAATTAAAGATGATATTATACCAAATTTTAATATTTAAGTATTTGAAATCAATTTTATAGAATAATTAAAAAGTTAACGATAATGTTACTTATATATTATGTTCTTAATAATTAAAGTAGAGAAAGATATTAAGAGTAATTTATAATTGTAAAGTATATATCAAATTAAAAGAAAATTTTTACTATATTATAGTACAACTAGTTATCTTATATGATACTAAATATTAAATCTTAAAAGAATAAAACAACTTGATATAGAAAAAATTCAATTAAACTTGTTAATAAGTATTTATAAAAAAAAATATTAAGCAATAATATGAATTAAACTAGTCATAAGTTAAAAATAAACTATATTTTTCTATATTTTAAAAGTAACTCTTATTTAACTTTTTTAAACAAAAAATATTATTTTTAATTTATTAAATAATTTTTATTTATTTTTATATTATTTTTTATGATAATTTATTTATGAACTCGTTCTAATTAAACTATAGTCTTTATTAATTTATAACTAATTTCTTAAACGATTTAAATAATTGATATTAGTATTCTTTCTGAGAAGGTAAAACTTATCACTTAATTTACATAATTTTATCTAATAAGATTTTGTAATATTATCACAGTGAAAATTTTTAGTTTAAATTAACGCTTTACTTTTTTAATTATATTTTTTATTTAAATTAGAAATGCACCTGTTTGATTAATTGACTGACTTCACCCAAAGACTTGAGTTAGATGCGCGTCTCGTGCTAATTAATAAATCGATTCTTTTGGGAAATATGCAACAGAAATTTCAAATCAATATTATAATTTTTAATAGAAACATTATTTTTTATTTTTATTTATCTTTGAGTTACACAGAGAAAAAATATTAATAAATTTCGAAAGGAAGATAAATTTTTTAATTAGTGGGCGCTGATTTTTGCTCTGATTGCTTAAGATATCTCTCTAGTCAAATGTTTAAAGCCTTAAAATAATTGGAATTTTACCATTAAGTCAATGTCACTATTTAAATAATAAAAATTAATAATAACTCTCTTAACAAATATGCCATATGTTAAATGACATAATATGTGTATATATATATGGTCATAATTGTACGGCTGAACTTGTGCACAACGTATATTTAACGAGTTATCATGGTCTATATTATTGAACCATTTTGGTGGAAGAAGGGGTGAACAAGCCCTAATAAAACAAAATACTATAATAAACTTTTCGTTCCCATTGAAGAAGTCGCAGAACAGTCAAAGAAAAAGAAGGGCTAATAAGGCTAAGCAAAATAGTCTACAATATTTATTTAATTAGAAATTAAATATATTTTTCAATATGACATGTTAGAAACAAATGTAATCTCAACAACCACGAAATGTCTCGATATAAATAAATTCCCCAACAGATGATTTTTACTATATTTTCTCAAAATGTCTTCGTAATATTTAATAAAAATAAAAAATTAATATTTTTAAACTATAAAAACTCATTTATATTTTCTTTATTTAATGATTAGTCAATTAGAGATGTTTACATGTATACAAAGAATATCTCTGAAGTCAATTCTTTCACATGTTAAAAATAATTGAAGTTTTGTTTAATGTTAATTAATGTCACTGTTCAAATAATTAAAATTAAATATCATGTATTAATAAGCTTAATATTAAATATTCAACTTATCACTTATGTTATTTAATAATTTTTTACAAAATATAAATTTTATAAAATTATATATATATATATTATAAATATTTCATAATATTATTTTATTTTAATGTGTTTTATGTTTTTAAAATATAATTAAATATTAAATTATGAATAATATATTTAAAAAAATTTAAATTATATAAAATTTAATATAAATAATTATTAAAGTAATTATAAAATAATTTAACAGTTTAATTAGTTTATCTTATATTTTATAAAAATTTATTAAAAATATAAATATCTAAATTTAGACTTGACATCAACCATCTACCGGTAAGAATAAAATAAAATCATTATACGTTAATGTGAAATGAGCTGTCATAACTGTCATCGTGCGTAGAATATATATTTTGACGGGTTATTATGTTCTACGGAGCTATTTTTATTTACAGATAAAATAAGGTTTTCACATTATATTTAAAAACAAAAAAATCAGATTTCCTCGTATTACTATGTAATATAGTCTGTTTGGTAATCGTGTGAAACTGAAATTACACATGGTTGGTAGTAATTTTGTAAGAAGAAAAAACATATTAATTATGTCAAAAATAATTTAATCATAATACAAATAGGCCTATAATATGCTTATTATTAGCAATTATTTTATAAAAACAAATATTTATTACGATTGCTTATAAAATTTATTAATAAATTTAATAAAAATTGTATTATTTTTCAATATAATCAGTCATATTATTTAATAATATAAAAAGATGAAAAAAAGAAAAATCAACAACTACGCAACTTCCCAG